GGGGTCTAATGAAACAAGTTTATTGAATTTTTTTTTTTTTTTTTTTTGGTTAATTTCATAATAGTTGTTGAAGTTACCTTAAATCCCATTTTTGTCTCTGATTTTTAATACATTCTACAGTTTAGTCACTAAAATTTTATTTTGTTTCAACTTTGATTCTTCTATTAGCTAAGTGTTATTTAACAGAAATTGTGAAAATTAGGAACCAAATTTAGAAGCTTCTAAAGTTTAGGGACTAAAAGAATACAAAGAACAAAAATTAATTTCCACAAATGGTCCCTAAATTTTTTTTTTTTCAATTTTAATTCCTAATTTACACATATTCCGTCAAATTTTTAACACATAGTAAACAAATGATCAAAATTGAAATAGAATAAAACTTCAGGAAGCAACTGTGAAACGTTTTAAAAGTCAGAGATAAAAAAAAAAATTGAGAATAAACTTCAGAAACCATGTGTGGAATTACTTTGTTTTTTTTCCTGTGTTCACCTAGGACTTTACCATATATGCAATTCATTGAAAGCAACTCACAGACGCACTAAACACCATTTGAGTGGAAGTTTATTGAAGTTAGTTATTATAGATATACTCTGTCTTTAACATTTTTCCTTGAAATTATAAGTTCATTTTGAATGAAAATTGATATTTGGTAAGTTTTTTTTTTTTTTTTTTTTTCCCTAACCTCTTATACTTTTGAGAAGTAATGGATCATAATTTCTTCATTAAAACTAGGTGTTTAATTTGAATACATTGTGGTTGATTAAAATAGTGCTGAAATGTTATATCTATGCAGGATATGAAAGAGGAAATCGAAGTGGCTTGTTGGATGAATATTGGACGTTTTTGTTAGTACTCCGGGGAGGACATATGTGAAAATTACTAGTACTAGCTAGCGCAGGCATTGATTGGTGTGGCGTTTATTGTGTGATTATTGATTACAATATTATTATTGCGTTGTTTCTAGAACGAACGATAAGTACTAGATCTGTAAGGTGTATGTATATATATGTATGTATATATATATATATAGTGTTCATTCTTTTTTAGAACACTAATATTTTCTGTTTATTTCGTCAGATCTGTATTATTTTTTTAATCTAATTTAATTTTTAATTAGATTTAATACAAATCTAACTATTAATAAATAGAAAATGTTGGTATTTTTAAAAAGAGATAAAACAATCCTATATATAATGCATGTAAAAAGTATCACCAATATTATTCAACGCGAGGATTAATATCATTTAGTCAAATCGTCAGAGGCTACTTTAGCATTACTTACGATCTTTCCTGCGGGCTTCATGCCCATTGGAAGATTCTCAAAAAGCTACCAACTATAAAGCCATGTAGTTAATTGGTGTATTCTTCAGTTTGGACTAGTCCAAGTTTGGTATATAATTTTGCCTCATCGGTACACCTAATTCGACAATTGTTTTTTGTTTTGTTTTTTGTACTTATTAATGTCGTGTAGAACTATAATTATGAAAAGCATTAATTTCAAAAAGCAAAAAAAAAAAAAAAAAAAAAAAAAAAAAAAAAAAAAAACCTCAAGAAAAACATGTCTACATATCTGTAATCTGCAACTTTTGAAAAAAGAGCTGATAGCAGGTATATGCTTCCACCTCTTTACTTTTCTTTCATCAATTATATAACGTATCGTTGTATGAACGTGCGAGTTTTGGAGATCATTCCAAGCTTTTGGAACCTATTGTGTAAGTTGATCTCTCATTTTTCATCCACACCCCTAGCTACCCTCCTCTATAAAGGCATCACCTCTTTATTGTCAACTTCTTCAGGCAATTCCCCCATTGCTTCCTTTGTCACAAGTTCTACGGAATCATCAGTAACTTGGACATGAAATTCTTCCCCTGGTCCGTAGACTCTTTTTTTTGTTCGATCAGAATACAAAGCTTCATTGTTCATCTTGAGAGCTTCCCATTACTCATCTATAGGGAGAGTAGGTGCTATGTGACTTGGATATGCCGAGTCATCAAGCACTTGATCTGTTATCCCATTTTCTTGACCATTTGACATCTCATTTTATTATTTAGGGCTTTTTCATAGGTTTGAATAAAAAATTTGAAGTAAAATTTAAATTTTTGTGTGAAAAAGACGGTAGAATAAAAGTTGTATTGTGATTTAAATCTATGAAAACAACGGAGAATGTGTGGAATAATTAGTTTCTATTCATGTGACTAAGTTATTATATTTATATGACATGACAAATAATTATTGAAGAAGAGATAACCAAGAGAACGTGAAAATACAAACAACATATTTTTTAAAATTAGAAAATGTAATTTTTTCAAGATAAATTATTCAGTAGATCATATGTACCACGTCATTTTGAAGATGTGGTACACTCGGCCAATAAAAACTCAACATTTGGATGGTTACTGACACATTTGTTTCCTTTTCTCAGTAAATGACTTTATTTATTTATTTAAAAAAAAAGTAAAATTACATAACTGTATTTTAGTGGAGAAAGCTATTTTACTTTACTGATAGGAATTATGTTTCAACTATTGGATTAGTTTTTTAACGATTTGATTTACAATATGAACAATTTTTTATCGCATTCTGTAAATTTTTAATGCGGACATGTTCAAATTTAACCGTTAAAAACTAATCTAACGCGTAAAAACAACAGCTCCTATAAGTGAAGGAGCAAAATAGTCCTCCACCCTGTGTAATTATAGATAAAAATAAGTAGGAATATTGACACTAAATAGCTGGCCGATTATGGAGATATCACGTGCATCTCTCCATCAGCAGGAAAGGGACTTGAGCGCTGGATTTTTGAGCCAGTACTGCTGTGTGAACGCTTGAAAATCCATGGATTCTTTTATCTGTAATTAACAACACGGCAAACGATATCCATGCAGTCAAAAGGACAAAAGAATGGGGATTGACTTGACTTGTGGGGGTCATGGAGGACTCGAAAAGTAAGACTAAAGGAGTAAGCACGTAATCAATAAGCATACTAATATCTGCTTGGTTTGGATCTCTCCTTTGATGCTGCTTAAGGTTCCGTTTACTTTGCTGATTTGAGTTTAGAATTTGAGTTTTTCTACAGTAAAAAGTTCTCACAAACAATCACATATAACTTTTTTATTACAGTAAAAAATTCTCACATAAAGTCATATCTCAACTCAAATTCTAAACTCGAATCAGCGAAGTTAACGGAACCTACTCGCTTAGAACGTAAATAAGGCGGGGCAAATGAGGTTCCAACCCGCCTCACATTAAACGGTTCGCGATGCGGGGCAGGCGAGTCACCCCTAATCCGCTCCATTTGCATATTAAAAGAAATAATAATTAAAAAAGAAACTATGAGATTATAGAGAGAGAGAGTATTGTCGCTAAAACTTTTCGTGCGTGAATGTTCTGCATCAGGCTGTGGCGTCCACTTTTTCGTCACTAAATATCTTGCGTAGAGGAAAGAGTCGTCGCTAAATATTTGCCGTGAAAATTTGGCGGGAAAAATTATTTGTTGCCGTCTCTAAAAACCTTTTAGTGATGACACTTGTCGTAGTTAAAACATGTTTTTTTTTTTTTAAAAAAAAAAAAAAAACATATTGATAGAATATCAAAAATATCCTACCATAAGTACTCTTCAACAACCAGAGTCGAAAATGTCAACAATATTTGTTGGTTCCAGAAAAATAATCTGTCCAACTACCAAGCGATGACTGGTAGATTGTTAAAAGTATTCTATCAGAAAAATGAAAAATATTATATACCAAGCGATGACTGGTAATTGTTAAAAGTATTATATCAGAAAAATGAAAAATATTATAGTAGATTGTTAAAAAATTGTTAAAAGTTCTCTATCAGAAAAATGAAAAATATTATAGTAGATTGTTAAAGTACTCTATCAGAATACTTTCCAGTTACCGGTTGGTAATTTGTTTTTTTTTTATTTTTTAAATATTTATTGGAATATAAAAAATATCATACTATAAATACTCTTCAACAACCAGAATCGAAAATGTTTGACCATTTTGTTGGTTCTGAAAAAAAAAAAAAGAATCTCTGACTACCTGGCGATGACTGGAGTAGGATACGTTTTGGCCATTTTGTTGCTTTCAGAAAAATATTCTAATAGAACATAAAAATTGTTGATTAGAATACTCGCTGACGACCAGAACGACAGATGTTTGGCCTTTTTTGGCGAGAAGAAAAAAATAGGCGGGTAGGATTTTAAAAATATTCTACTAGAACATTTTTTTGTGAATCGAGTGGATAGATTTCAATTAAGCGACATAACTGTAAAAATGATACATTTTAGGGAAAATACACCATATAGAACTTTTCATTGCTCCTTTTGAAGGAAATAGCAACTTTTTAAAAATCTGAAAAATTATAGCACAACTTTCCTCTCTTAAAAGTACTTTCTATCACCTCGTTTATTTTACGGATTTAAGTTTTCAATTCGAGTTAAGATGTGACATTTTCTGAGAGTTTTTTACTGTAGCAGAAAATTTTGATGTGACATTTTCTAAAAAATTTTTAATGTAGAAACCGAAAACTGAAAACTCGAATTGGTGAAAGGAATGATGCCTATTTATTTTCAATTTTATTCTTTTTTTAAGTTTTATTGTATTCTTTTTTATACATATTTTTAAATATTATTTTAATTTTGTAATTTTATATTAAGAATTTTTTATGGTAATAAAATTAATAATAAGAATTGAAATCGGTGAAACGTTCAAATGAAACAGTTCTACAATCTCTCTCCAGACCCCATCTCTCTCTTCAGATTCCTTCTCTCTCTGTGTTTGGAGACTCCCTCTCTCTTTCTCATCTCTCTCCTTCGCGATCTCTCTCCCCTCTGCGATCATCTCTTGAGGATCGACGATAAATTCAGGGTCTCTCTCTCTTTGCGGCCTCCATCGCAGGTCGAACGCCACCGTCGTGCCGCCTGTCGCACCAACGTCGGACTCCACTGCGAACTCGAAGCTCGCCGTCACTATAAAGGTACAAATTGTCGCTCTGCTTCTACGGCGAACGTCGACATCCGAGGGGGGAGAGAGGCTTCGTCTCCGTCACAAGCACCATCTTCTCCGGTGGCGCTAACATTGCCGGCGATGCATCCCTTCGTTCGGCGTTCGCACAACTCCGATCTAGGGAGATTGTCGACGACACCCGGCAGCATTGAGGCCAAATCCGGAGCTGGTTCTCTAGTTTGCGAGTTTTTCAAATTTTCACTTGAGTTTTTGTTTTTTAGATTTGAGTTTGTGATGGAAATGATCGCTGACCGGATATTCGAGTTTACGGTATTTGTAAGTAAATATTGAGTGGGTTTGAAATTGAATTTTACTTATTTTTTAAAATATTTTTACAGGTTTTTTAAGGTAGGATGGTTTGTAAACCGTTTTTGTTTAGTAAATATTTTGAAAAAAAAAAAAAATAATGAGAATAATTTTTGTGAATAAATTAAAAAATGAATAAAATTTGTTTTTTTTTTATTTTTATTTTCTAATATTTATAAATAATGTTATAATATATTAATTAATAATTATAACTAAAATGATTTTATTTTTTTATTATATTTAAAACAATCTATTAAAAAACTAACCAAACGCAATTTCAGAATCAGTTTCAGAATAATTCTCAAAACAATCTCATTTTTATTTTTGTATTGAAAATAAAATTATTTTGAAAATGTTACCCACGTGTCCATTGTATTTACTTATTTTCGGCGACAGCTAGATTTTTGAGAAATATAATATTTATGGGTAAATACTATATTTATCGGTCACCAACGTCGACATCACATTTTTGATAAATATGGTATTTACAAATATTTTTGAGTAACCATAAATATCGTATTTACTAGTCTCCGGCGATAGGTGCCAACAGTCAGATGTTCATGAAATACAATATTTATGAGGTAAATAACATATGTACCGGTTGTCGGCGTCGATGTCGGATTATCAGGTAATATAATATTTACTGGTAAATACAGTATTAAATAGTTGCTAGTGTTGGCGGCTAAATTTTTAGATAAATGTGGTATTTGTGAGTAAATACAGGTAACAAGATAACTGATAAATACGATATTTAATGGTCCCTGAAGTTGGTGGCCAGATTTTTGTATAAATATAGTATTTAAGAGTAAATACTATATTTAGCAATAAATATGATATTTACCAGTCGTTAGTGCCGGTGACTGAATTTTAAAATTTTTAGATATTATTTACAAATAAATACGAGATTTACTAATAAATATGATATTTATTAATAAATATGATATTTAATGATCGCTATTTCACTCATTTTCTCTATCTTTTATGTGTTTCTTTCGATATTCTCCTTCTTCTTCTGGCTAATAGGGAGCCATGATGGGGCTTAAAATTGCATTGGGCTACCACTCACATAATCAGGAGAAATTTTAAAAAATACCCCTCCTTATTTTATTTCTATTTCTTAATATTAGCCTATATATTTCTTCCTTTTAGATTAAAAATATTTAAGGATAGAGTTTTTTAAAAGTGATAATTTTAGTAAGTTAGATACTTAATGTGATAGAATATGTAATTTTCTCCACAATTATAATCTAGGAAAATTATGGTATATAGCAAATTTGTGAAACTGTATTAAGTAAATAGTCAATTTTAAAACTATTTAAATTAAATAATAGTTTACTATATAAATAATTCATTTATAATTGGTAAAAAATAATTTACGTTATTTTTTTTACTAGTCATAAAAAGAAAATTTACATGCAAAATTTTATTTTCTGATTCTTGATAAAATATTTACGTTATAAACTCTATTTATTTAAAAGAGTTTTAAAATCTGCTGTCAATTATTTTCTAAAAATATGTTATTTCCTCTGAAAAGTTTTATGAGATATTTATTTTAAAAGTTTATCTCTAATTTTAAATTATAATTTTTAATTCTCTATAATATTTTTTTTAAAGTAATTTAAATTTTAAAAATTAAAATTATAAATTATGATTTTAAATTTATAAACTAAAATATTGCATGTCCCAAAACTCACAAGCCAAAAAAAAAAAAAAAAAAAAAAAGTATCCAAGGCCCCACCATGGACATGCAATCGGAGTAACGATGGACTCATCATCGTGCGTGCCGTGCCTAATAGATAAGAGCATTTTTTTCTCTCATTTAAAAAAAAAAAAAAATCTCTTCTCCTCTCCTCTCCGCAATTCTCAGTTTCTCAAAACCCAAAAACTCACAACTTTTTTCTCTCAGAATTTTCCTGCGACAATCCAGGTACTTAATTTTACTTGGCATAATCATTTTGTAATGAATTCGAAGAAGTCAATTTGATCGTCTAGAAACAACCAGATTATCTGAGATTTTCTTTTTGTTCCATTTTTACTCTCGGTTTTTTTGCCAAGATTTTTGTGTTGATTAATTTCGATACTCGATCGTAGTTAAGATGCAACAATCTAGGGTTTAGAAGGATTTGATCTTAATCACTTGAGTTTCGTGTTAGATTTGGGATCAATGAAAGGGGAAGTTCAGCTAGAGTCAGTGAGTTCGCAAGACCCAGGTGACTCGGACCCTTTGTTGCAGAACAAGGCCGATTCTTCACCAGGAAGCTCGACCGAGATTACGGTTGAAGACGTTGAGTCTGGTTCGGTTCCTTGTTGCCGCATTTGTCTTGAAAGTGACGCCGAGCCAGGTAAACCTCGTCTTCAGTATTCTTTTTTTTTTTTTTTTTTCAATTTATTATTTTTATGAGTTCTATGAAAAATATTGTTGAATTTGATGTGTTTGAAAGACATGTTCTTATAGGTTTTTGATTTTTTTCACGTAATTCTGCGATTTTTTTTTTGTGCATTTATACGTATATGTTGTCGGGATCTTTAAAGAGTTCCGTAAGTTTTGTGGAAGTTGAAGTTTTTGGTTATGACATGAAAAAGACGGGATTACCATGAGAATGTAGAATTGGCTATAGTTGGAAGTCACTTGGGCCTCGTTCACTTCGTTGATTCGAGTTTAAAATTTGAGTTGAGATGTGATTTTATGTGAGAGCTTTTTACTGTAGCAAAAAAGTTAGATGTGATTGTTTATGAGAGCTTTTTACTGTAGAAAAACTCGAATTCTAAACTCGAATCAGCGAAGTGAACGGGGCCTTGATCTTCCTAAACTTTTTCCTTTCTTTTCGTTAGGTGTCAACTGTCAAAAGATATCAAACCGCAAGTTAAAGGGTTGTTTTTTTTTTTTTTTTTTTCCATTTATTTTTTCAAATGAGGGGTTATATGTTAAAAGAGTTTATCATCGGTGACTCTCCAAATAATATACTTATATACTTTGATTTACCTCCCTTATGAGACCTTTCTCTCTTTTCTAAGTAAAAGGTTCTTTCTCTCGTTTGCCCTTTCTCATCTTCATTGTTAATTGTAGTCCTTGTTTTACAACCCATATACTCATTATACGTTGGAAACTGGATTTGTGTCCATTTTGTGGTCTAGACAATGTAATTTCTACTGGGCAGATGTCCATATTCTCAGCCTAAACCTCTGCTGTTAAATCTTATAGAGGACGAGTTGATTTCTCCTTGCATGTGCAAAGGCACTCAGCAGTTTGTTCATCGGGCGTGTCTTGATCATTGGCGTTCGGTTAAGGTACGTATTGTTGTTTTCAAATCTTATGAGTTATGATTAATGTGGTTGCTGCTATGTTATGGTAATTCATATTTGGCAATATACTTAGTGCTTTTTTGTATAGGAAGGATTCGCCTTCTCCCATTGCACAACTTGTAAAGCTCAATTTCACCTCCGAGTTGAATTGTTTGAGGACAACTCATGGCGTCAAGTAAAATTTCGACTATTTGTGGCAAGGGATGTTGTCCTTGTATTTTTGGCTATACAAACAGTAAGTTATTTATTGGTTAACTGGTTCGTGTGGGATCCCTCACGTTTACAATTCAAGCCATCCTTCTAGATTCTTGTGATGTTTGTTTCTGTTTTACACCCAAGTATGCTTCTTTTTCGATTTTAAGCTAATGTCTGCTGTTAAAGTGAGAAACTGTTAAATCATTCATTATTTCAATTTGTTCTCATCATGATTATTTTTAAGCTGCTCTTTTTTTTTTTTCTTTAATTTATATTTCCCTTTCTAGAAATAAGACATATATAATCCACAAATGTGACTGTTTTGAGACTAAAGGGAGACTCTAATGATTGATGTCTTATCAGAGAACTTCTTTAGTTCTTATTAGTTGGACTTTTTGCAATTTGTTTTGCATGTGAAGAGGAGACTCCCTGGAACATGTCATTTTCGGTTTTTAGATTTTTATTTTGATACGACAGAACAATGAAATGTTTGGCCGTTGAATGCGGTAGATGGTTAGTTGAGAGCTTGAATACTGTGTTTTTCACAACTCCACATTTATAGATTAAATAAATGTAGGAATGTCTTGATTGATTTGGTCTCTCCAGTCGTGATTTTTAGTCATCTCCTTTGGTATTTACTATTTCTTAATTTTTTCACCTTTCATTGCATCAACATCTCTTATGCCGTTCTCTTATTTGTGAATATGTATTTCCAATTCCAGGTAATTGCTGCAATGGCTGGCTTCGCGTATATCATGGACAAAGATGGAGCGTTCAGAAATTCCTTTAGTGGTTGGGATCGTATTCTATCAAAACATCCCGTACCATTTTATTACTGTATAGGTAAACTAATTTCTCCAATCAATTCTCTACATTTTTCTTTGGAAGTTCATGCCAGGCATCTTGTGTTCATAAGTAACTATTTAGAACTCATATACTTGCACCAGCATTCAAACAAGAATATAATTCATCCCTAGCAGGATGCAAATGTTTTATTGCAAAAGTTCATCTGTCTTCCTTTTCTGTTCACTTGTTTGACCTATCCATGCTGCATATTGCAAAAATTTTCAGATCAAAGCTATGAAATTGTAATTGTTACAAATTAGTCGTGTTTGAGCTTCTAATTAGTTATTTGCATTTTATTGTAATATTATTATGTTTGGTACTTTTATTTATTATTATGTTTGGCATTTTTTTTTTTTTGGAATTGGTCAAATTACATACAGAGTAGTTTAGATTTGCATCGGGCTTTAGTTGAGAAGTGGGTTCAGAATTGTATCTGAATGGGAAGGACATGCTAGTGATTTGAGTTCAAATGTTCACCTATATATTTGTTTAGAAATGAGAAGAAAACATGTTGTGAATTAGTCTGATATCTTGCTATCTTAGGGGTTTGGCATACTTGAAAAATCTTATCAATGGATGCCAAGATTCGCTTTTATGATTCTACGTGTATCCTTTTGTTTTTCTTAGGAGACATTTAGTTCATGGATTAGAACCATGTGATTAGAATCATTTTCGATTTACGTGTATTTTTTGTGAGAGAAAATACTGTAGCAAACCACGAACCATGATTCGAATCAGGGGACGAATCCCTCAACCAAACAACCTCTTAGTTACGGGATGAATTACATTTGGTATCAAGATGTGTTGTAATGGTATTGGATCAAATTTATGGCCGGATTAGGATGTGTTGTAATATCATTGCATTGAATATTAAGGGTATGTTTTAGCAAATTGTAAAGGAATGTAAGTAAAAGTTAATAGGATGGGAAAGGAAAGTAGAGTAATAAGAATGAGGATCAATGATTCCCTTTGTAGTGTTTTCTTATCTCTTTGATGGTGTAATGGAAACAACTCCATTGCCTTCTAGAGTTTACTAAACTTAAGAATAGTAATGCTAACTGTTATATCAAATTTTTTACAAGTTACAATTTGCATTCCACATTGACAATGTTGGAGCTCGAAGCTTAAGCTAGCTCTAGCTCTATCTCAGCTAGGTAAGGAGTATTAAATGATCTGACGAATACATCACCTTCAGCTTAAATGTCCACCATTTGAACTTGAGCTAGGTGAGCTGAGGTAGGCGAGCTGAAGTACGCGAGTTGAGGTAGGAGTAGGACCTGAGCTCCACAAGCTGAGGTAGAGGATCTGAGCTCGACGAGTTTTGTTGGGTATTGTAGATTTGCACGTTCGGGTTTAGTTGAGAAGTGGGGCCAGAATTACATCTAACAGATAGGATGTGCTACTGATTTATGGGTTTACCAATTTATATGTTGTGAAATGAGAAGAAAACGCGTGGGTATTTCTTTTATTGTATTCTATATAATTGAAACGCGTGGGTGAATTATTCTGACATTTTGATGTCTTGGAGGTTTGGGGTCTTTAAAAACCCTATCAATGAATGTTGAGGGTCTCTCGAATGAGTTTATATATGGATTCATAAAAGAAACACTTGATGCTAATGCCTTTCCACATTTATTGTACTAACTATATTATGATAACTTTATGCAATAGCAATGGGAGTATGAGTTTGCTTTCAATTCCTTGCACTGGGTATTTTGTTAACATTTTGTGCTATGTTGTGTGTTCATAACTATTCCCAGGGGTACTGGCCTTTTTTGTTCTGCTTGGATTTTTCGGGCTCATATTGCATTGTTCATCTCTCAATAGCAATGATCCACGGATGGCTGGCTGCCAAAACTGTTGTTATGGTTGGGGAATATTGGATTGCTTTCCTGCGTCTATGGAAGCATGCTTTGCCCTGGTTATTGTTTTTGTTGTGGTCTTTGCAATTCTTGGCATAGCATACGGTTTCCTTGCTGCCACGATGGCTATACAGAGGATTTGGCAGAGACATTACCACATCCTCACCAAGAGGGAGCTCACAAAGGTAAATATTTGAAGGCCCTTTTCGATTCTCCATAAATATCTCCCAATTACTATATTGTTTAGCTAGGTGAGCTTGGATTTGGTAGAACTCGCATTTTTTTTTTTGCATGGAACTTGCATTTAATGGTATGATCCTTTTCCTAAAAATTCTGCAGGAGTATATAGTGGAGGATCTTCATGGCTGTTATACCCCACCAAAGTTGGACCCAGAACACGAAGAGCGGCTGAAAATGCTTAAGCTTTTGTAATTATGTAAAAGGAGGTGAATTTCTGTCTCTTGAAAAGGGTTTTAAGTTTGTCGGCATACGGAAGGAAAAGAATTGCTGGGTAAATTTGTTCAAAGAAGTGGAGAGAGAAAAAAAAGTCTTTTTCTGTAATGCTCACCCAAAAAAAAAAAAAAAAAGAAATGTAAACCTAATCTTGCTTTTTTGACAGAAAGTAAAATCATCTGTGCAGTTTTTACTTTCTTAACTTATATATTATGTTTTGTGTTCCCAGCAATTGTTTTTACTTTCTTAACTTATATATTATGTATCCAGTGTATGGCATTTGTACATTTTCATATGTGCTGTTTGGATATTCTCGTCATAATAGCAGTGCTGTTTGGATATTCTCGTCATAATAGCAGTCTGGCGTTCGATCTTAGAGAACTATTCTGTCGGCTATGGTCATTGTAAAAATTGGATCATATGAAAAGGAAATGAAAACAATTTATACCCGCAGTCTCCTACTACGCGTGTCGAGAAACAGTACAACGAACAATTTGGTTTTACCTGTAAACTGAATCTGAATGATGCACTCGAGGGGAAACGGTCCACAAAACACCCAGAAAAGTGCAATGAACCCAAGGTGTTTAAATTTATTTGTAAAAAGTAAAAAATGGTTTGTACTTTGATCTGACATTTAAATTAAAAAAATAACAAGGGTTTCTAAACCAACCCTCCCTCTAACTTCTCATTGTTTGAACCCAAGATTTCTGCCACGCTGTTCCAACAATAATAATTTAAACCTTTCAACCAAACGAGACCGAAATGAATGCACAAACAAATTAACGTAACAACCACTGTTACTATAAAACACATACCAAGCTAAACTAAAATAGGAAAAAACAACCCCAACAATAATGACAAAACTTCTAACAGAGATAAGACCATTAATTCCTGAAACAACATGAAAAAGTCCGACACTAAATAGAGGAAGAAACACTATCGATATGTTATCGAACTAATGCAAATGCACCACATGCATGGCCTATTACAACCGCCCAACACTACACTATTAACGCCATCATATGCACCGACCAATAAAGACGCGACCTCAAGAGAGTAGAAATGATGGAGAAGCAACGCGCCTAGAACACCACCTAAAACAAAAACCCTAGCCCTAGTTTGTCCCCATTTTTGCTTTTGTGCCTCACAACAGTGAACATTGTCTCTATCACCATTCCGGTCTTATTGTTATGAGCTCGTGCACGAAAAATATAAGGTCGAAAACATGAAAATGCACTGAGAAGCGATGTCGAAACTCTGACCCCGATAAATAATATGACTCGATAATATTCTCTTTTCATATAAAAACTAGTTGTTTCTTCTTTTTCTTCTTCTTGTGCAAAGCTAAATATATGACCATTAACTATAAATAATAGTGAGGAAAACAAAGGATAAGTTGTATAAACATCCCCCTAATTATAGTCACTATTACACTTTGCTCCTTTGAACTTCGAAAAGTGGTATACAAACTACTCAAACTTTAACACATTATAAAAAAAATGATCTTTTTGCTACATTATGTCTATTTTATTACCTTAACTGACATTAAAGATTCTTCTTCTTGTGCAAAGCTAAATATATGACTCGATAACATTCTCTTTTCATATAAAAAACTAGTTGTTTCTTCTTTTTCTTCTTCTTGTGCAAAGCTAAATATATGACCATTAACTATAAATAATAGTGAGGAAAACAAAGGATAAGTTGTATAAACATCCCCCTAATTATAGTCACTATTACACTTTGCTCCTTTGAACTTCGAAAAGTGGTATACAAACTACTCAAACTTTAACACATTATAAAAAAAATGCTCTTTTTGCTACATTCTCTATTTTATTACCTTAACCGACATTAAAGATTTGACAACAAATAACATGTCCTTATTTTCTTGGTCATTTTCATGTCGCTTTTTAACTTCCCGAACGACAAGAAATATGAATAAACAACCTGAAGCTTTTTAGGAATAAATGACATGGTTTTATCAGTATTTTCTCATGGCCATGGCAACAAATTGTGACGACTTCTTTTTTTTTTTTTTTTTTTGTTGCTAATAAAAAAATGAATATTGATGAGATCTTGTTCGCTGTCTATTATTAGGGGCCCAACAATACAACAGAAAGTACCTAACCTAATTTTAGGCAAAAGATGAGTTTAATTTCACTCACACCATGAGAATTCCAACGTTGCACAGTGCATTGATTGAGCAGTGACCTCAAGGGGGAGCCCTACAGTATCTAACCTCGTTATAATCATTAAATTATTTTAGTAATAAGAAGAAATACACTAAATATTCCAGCCGGTATGAGCAAGCTGGCTAAAGTAGGGAAATGGTAGGTAAGAAATATTGCAGCTGGCATAGTTGTAGACATAACTTAATGGTAAATCTAAATAATTTCTTATATTGAGGTTAAAAGCTCGAATTCTCAGCCCCTAATTTTAATATATATCATTAGAATTGTAAGTTTGAATCGGGTTAAATGAACTGACTCCGAATAAATAATTTTTTTTTATCTAGTCAGTTCTAAAGACAATAGAAGGGGTTTTGCAATGGAAGAAACAGTCTTCAATCTCAGATTTAAAAGGGTTGGGTTCCCTTTTTTTTTATTTTTTTTTTATTTTTTTATTTCTTTGAGGCAAGGGGAACAACATTATAGAGAATACAAAAATGTGTATTAAAATTAAAACTGAATGACATTGAATTTCTTACTTGGCCACCATACACTCGTTCCAATTGGCTTTCGAGTAAGCTTTTTGTATTATTCTTTTCAAGTAACCTTGTTTGTACATTGGCATCACAATTTTTTTTTTTTTTTTAATGTAAAATTTCCTCTCTTGATCTTTCTGCCATCTCACATCTTTGAAGGAATTTGAGTTGAACAGAAGGATCAATCACCCAATTCCCCGACGAAAAAGAAAAACGAAAAGGTTAGTGCTAAAACCATTTTGAACCACAACTCGCCCCAACACTTGTGTACAAATTTGGCATGTGGCGCAAACTTGTGAAATGAAACAACTCCAAAGTAAATCCTACACAACCTAACCCGATGTATTGAATGAGTTCTCTTACGCTCCTTCAGTATGACAATTTTGGGTGTTAAGTCCGTCCTTATTTAAATCACCACCCACAAAAATCAGATGGTCACCATCTCTAATTACCTCTATATTGTCAATCTCAGCACCTTCTTTATTTACCACTTTAGTTGGCAAGAAACCAAATTTCTTGGCACCCAAATCAAGCAGGTCCTGAAATCTGTCAGGAAGCAAAACAAGCATCCCTTTAAGTTGACCCTTTTCAGGGCAACTAATTGTGACTCTAGCAGGGTTATTATTACTGCCATTATCCCTTGGACTTCTAGTCATACTAATAGAGAACAATGTGTCTTTCTCCCCTGTGTTAGCAGCTGACATTATGCCAAACAGTGAATTGTGGAAGTTATTGGTCCTGCGCCTTGGGCGGTTCCGCCCTGATGAGCCATCCGAGCCGGGAAATGAGCCTTCTTGAGACGCAGGCCGAATGGCAGGCTCGCTTGTGAACCTCCCAAGGAAACGAACCTTCTCGGGAATAACAATAATGGACTGAGTTTTGGGCTTGTCTTTGGACTGAAAAAGGGCTTGAATCTCTTCATGACCCTGTTGGTCAGCCAATGCTCTTGGGGTCCAGCCATCGATGTCTGGTTTGTCAATGTCAGCACCTTGATCTAAGAGGTGCTTGACTATCTCAATGTTGTCCTCAGAAACCGCCACGTGGAGGGCAGTGCTGCCATTGCTTTTCGGAGATGTTACATCACCCCCGTAGCGTGCTATCTCCTTGAGCAAGTTCAAGTTGTTTTGCTCTGCTGCAATGCACGCAAAATGCCCCACATCGCCCGAGTCTAAAACAGCACCATTGTCTAGCAGCAGCTTGGCGACCGTGTCATGGCCGCCTAATATCGCCTCCCATATTGGTACATTGCCATCAGAATCTGAGAAATTCAATACACAAAATTAGCAAATTTGCTAATAATAATAGTAACAATAATAAATTCATTAGTGGGACAGAATAATAAAATTCACTTATATGCTCTAGCGATGAGAAACTAGAAAGAGTTGACAAAGAGTTCTTAATGAGATTTGACAATGAAATGTGTATAGTGAAGTACTAGTTGCAAGAACATTATCCATAAACTTTAACAGATGACAAAAAGGTTTCTGCTTGCAAATAAGTTTATGAAGTCAACGAGTAGAGATAAACCCGATTGCTTTGACTTTGGCTTTCTTTGTTTAACTATAATTAGCAAGTTTCCAGCTGTGTTATTGGAACATATTAAATCGGAAACCCTTTCCATGCATGTCATTCTATATTACAGAAAAAAGATGGCCACAAGGTTATTCAAAAGAAAAACTAAAACCTCTACTACTATACTACCCCTGTTTTTAAATAGGGCGGAAATGACAGATCCCAAAAAAAAAAAAAAAAAAAAAAAAAAAGAGAAAAAACAAAAAAAAAAAAAAGGAGTCAACTTGCAAACTTAAATGGCAAAGCATGACATATTGGTTCATGCTTACATATTTTATTTCTACTTATGGAAAAGAAGCTTAAATTATTCATTATTGACACCGTCCAATATTAGTGTAAGTTATGAGGACGTGGGACTTGCACATGCATGACTATATATATATATATATATATGGTAATGAACTGTTTCATGTCAAATTAAATAAATAGAACCATTTGACTTAGAGAATTCTTTCCGACAAAAGAAAACGAAAACAAATATAAAGAATGTGGTATATGCTTGGATTTTCATGACATAAGGCAACAGCTTCCAATAAACAACTGTGCATCAAAATTATTGACCATTATCAAACTCTTCATTTCAAGTCTTATAGTTTTTTTAAGGGGATATATATAGGAGAGAGTGAGAGAGACTATAAAGACCAAATCAAAAGGCACAGAATTATATGTTAGATTTCTAGATAAGATTTCCAATTGACACAATAGCCCAAGTAGTGTCAAGGAAGTCAATCATATAAACTAAGTTCTCTTATGATTTCAGCAGCTCCGTATTAGTTATTTAAAATTTTGAACGGCGGTTGGATTGGTGAAGACTAGATCAATGCATCCAAATACTTTTAGCATTTGATTTGCGGGGTTGTTGACAAAAAAGGGACCATGTAAGCACTAACAGAAGGCAATTGTTTACCTTCAATTGTAGGCAAGAATTATGTAGTTTGAAAAAGACTATTACTATATAGTATATGATTACTTTATTTCCTTATCTAGTTAAGTACCGTAAACTGCAAGTTTCTTCCTTTAATAGCGATAAAGTATCCTCTTTTTATTCATTTTTTATTTTTTAATAAAAACTGACACAGAACACAAAAA